GCATGCCTTTAATCCCCATGCCTTTAATCCCAGCACTGGGGAAGCAGAGGCAGGCGGATCTTTGTGAGTTTGAGGCCAGCCTGGTCTCCAGAGTGAGTGCCAGGATAGGCTCCAAAGCTACAGAGAAACCCTGTCTCGAAAAACCAAAAAAAAAAAAAAAAAAGAAAAAAAAAGAAATTCTCTGCAAGCATATACTAAATTTCTATCCTATCCCTACTGAAAAAATAAAGAACAGTCAGCTCCTTTCTCAAGACACTTTGCATTAGAAGTGCTTAAAACCTTTGCTTTTATTTATCAATCAGTTAGGATCAACACTGGGGCAACAGAGACTGTTGCCCCTTCTTCACCCAAAATAAACACTGAGATCACTGTAACCTAGCCTTTCTATCTCAGTCACAGAGTCCAGCAGTTCTTTGAAGACATCAGCGTTATACCCCTGGGCTGGAATTAACATGTGGCATCAGACTTGTCTATTCCTAATGGAGGCAAGGCACCTGGATTTTCCCCTCCAGCTTTTGATGGAAAGCTTTGCTGGCATCTTTGCAATTAACTTTATATTTAACTCAGTGAAGAGGCTGAGTCAGTCTTACATTTAATCTTCTTGCACTTGACAGGTATCTTTATGTTGCATATAATTTTGTTGAGCATTTCCTCCTAAATCTTGCAATTTCTTCAGACATTTCAGCATTGTTTAAAAATTCTAATTTATCATTCATATAGAAAGACACTATAAATTGCCTACATGTGAAATACACATTTCCTCTAAATGTTAGTGATATTAACAGAATTTTGTTGTATGCTTCTGACTACAATTTAGCTACATCTATTTAAGGTGTTTTAAAACATTTATTTATTGGGGGGTGCAGCACAGTGTGTTGCATACATGTGTTTGTGTAAGTCAGAGAACAGCTTGCAGGAATCGTCGGTTCTCTCTTTCCATCACATGAATTCTGGACACCAAACTCAGGTGTTCAGGCTTGCAGCAAGTGCCTTTCCCCTCTGAGCTATGCTGCTTAGCTGTTTTGCCCATCCTGGTTTTCTTTTTGAGACAGGGTCTTACTTTGTCACCTTGGATGGCCTAGGAATTTTATAGCCAGGTCTCCAGCTCTTAGTGATCCTCCTGCCTCAGTTTCCAGAATACTAGGGTTACAAGTGTGAGTCATTATGCTTGGTTTAAGTTTTTTTTTCCTTTTTAATGGTATTAAAACAAACAAAATATTCTAGTCTTTAAGACTGATTCTGTTTTTCTTCTACAACAAAATTAAAGGGAAATGATAATATTTGAATATGTTACTTAAAACCAACCTATCAAATTTTCCTGAAAGTTAGGTTAGAACAGAGGAGAAAATGAGTGACCAAAAGATAATTCCTAAGAATATAACATCATCATCTTCTTCTTCCTCCCCTAACTCCTTCTCCCATCCCCCTTTTGGAGAAGGGTCTCACTCTGTGGATCAGGCTGGCCTGGAACTCACAGAGATCCACCTGCCTCTGCCTCCCAAGTGCTGGGATTAAAGGTGTGTGCCACTACACCGGGCAACAATCATTCTGGAGAGATGAGACGGATGATGGACTTTGGTGTTTGAGAAGATTATTGTAATGGTTGCTTTGGATTATTTGTGGTGCTTGGACCCAATTTTGTTCATATTGGGCAGAATCCTGTTACTATCATGATACAAGCAAGTATGGTGCATGCCTTTCTTTCTGCAGTTCAAAAGACACACAGATATAGACGGTCCTTTAAAAGAACATGTTAAGAAGACAAGACTAAGGCTGGAGAGATGGCTCATAGGCTAAGAACTATGACTGCTCTTTTAGAGGTCTTGAGTTCAATTCCCAGCACCCACACGGTCGCTCACAGCCATCTATAATGAGATCTAGTGCCCTCTTTTGGCGTGCAGGCATAACAAATAATCTTAAAAAAAAATATGCTCTTTTCTACAGGTGCTTATGAACCTCAGTGTGCTAAGTGCGCAAATAAAAAGGCATTTATCTTGTCCTATACAGAAAATATTTCTTCCTTATGTACGGTTAACATCTTTCTTCCATGCATTTGGCATCTGTTTTGATCAGAAAAGGATCATTCAACTTAATCAAATTATTGTTTTGCTCATTTATGCCCAACTCCTATGTGACCACGGTAGGTCCCTACAGTATACTCCCTTTCCTGGAATGCCTCTGCACAAGGAGAAAACAGTGCTTAGAGATTCTTTGAAGATGTCTAGTTAGAAAAACTCAAACATGTGTCTCCAGTAGAAATTTAACCAGGGTGCTTGAGTTGACAGGACCCTGAATTATGTGTTACTGGTTGGTTATGATGGGGTGGTAGACTGCCAGGGTTTTCATCTTGGCCTGGCTACTAGCCAAACTATAAGACCACAACTTTCTGAACCTCAATTTCCTCATTTGTCAGATGGGGACAATTATAGCTCCTACTTTATACAGTTGTGTTGATTAAGTGAGCTAAAATTCTTAACACAGAGAACAATGGCATGGTTATAGTGAGCAATAAGCAAGAACTACTATTATTGGTGAGATCTGGAGGGCTGCTTGATTAAAGCCTTTGTTCTTAATCTTTGTATCTCTGGTGTTGGGGATCAAATACTGGGCTTTCTGTATGTTACAGAAGTGCTCCACCAAGGAGCTACACCCCATCCCAGAATTAAAGCCTTAAAAAGAAACAACCATAAATTATCTTTTTTTGGGGGGGGGGTCTCACACAACAGTCCAGGTCCGCCTGGAATTCACTATGCAGTCTCCTTAGTACTGGGATTACACTTGTGGGATACCATCTCACTGGACTTATCACATTATTTCTTTTCTCCGTGTTATTTAATAGATGTGTAACAGAAATAGGAAATACAAGGTCTCACTCTATATCCTTGGCTATCCTGGAACTCCTTATGTAGACCAGGTCTACCTTAAACTCAGAGATCTGCCTGCCTTTGCCTCCCAAATGCTGGGATTAAAGGCATGTGCCACCACACCCAGCTAAAAGTCTTCAATTTTTTTTTTAAACTTTTCTTCTGAAAGCAATCAGAACCCAGCCCACTGCTGGATGATCAGAATGAGCTCTGCTTCTGATAGTGCCTGTCTACAAGGCCTCCATCTTGTCAACTTCTCGCAAGACTTTCATGTACTTTTACTTTTTAGTTCTATCATCAAAATAATAATAGACTTCATGGAAGCCAAGGGGTGACAAACTGCCATTTGCCATTTAAAACTTTGACTTAAGGCAACATTTTGAGATCTCAGGGACAGTTTTTTTTCTTTCTCGCTACAGTCCAAAGAAACATCTTTCTGTCAGTCTAAATCCTTTTGCAGTTTCAATCCATTAGGACAGCTTCTATTTTCTATTAAAAAAAAATGCTGAGAAGGCATGTCCGATATGCACTTCAGAAACTGGTGAGTCACTTGCAACAAAAGCTGCTGGGGGTTATGTCCACGAACACAGGTGACATCCAAATAGTGCACTACAAAAGATTTTTTTAAGGACTCAATCTCCCTATGTAGCTCAGGCTGCCCTGGAACTCAAGACTCTCCTGCCTCTGCCTCCTCAGTGCTGGGGTTACAAGCTATACCACCATACCCAGTGGAATGATTATTTTTGTAAAATACTCAAATGGTCTCAGCTGTCTGAAAATGCAGGCATTCATGTACTAATTGTAAGAAACAAAACAGTCTTTTTTTTTTCTTTTCCAAATCACCTTATCACTGAATATTACTTTAAGCTGGTGAAGGCTTGTAATTAAGCAGGCAGGGATACAATGAGTTTAAGGTCACCTTAGGCTCCACGAGACACTGTCTCACTTAAAAAAAAAAAAAAAAAAGTATGGGATGGTGGTCGTCCTCAGGGAGGCAGAGGCAGGCAGATCTCTGAGTTCAAGGCCAGCCTGATCTACAGAGTGAGTTTCAGGACAGCCACAGTTACACAGAGAAACTGTGTGTGGGGGGTGTAAATTCTTTTTTTTTAATTTTATGGGGAGACCGACAACATGTATGAGGTAAAGGGGCATGTGTGAGAGTTTGTTACAGGCCAGACAAGGGATGTCAAAGAGGCATCTCTATGCAACAGTATAGGCGACATTCAACCTTTGATGATTAGGCTGAAGAGTGCTAAGCTCAAAACCGAAGATAACAGTTTTGTTTGTTTGTTTTGTGTTAACCTCCAAAAATTAGACGGGCGACTTCCCGAGTCAGAGGTCTATCCTTTAAACAATATGTGTCCGTTAAAGTTAGATTAGAACAGAAACAAAAAGCTCTCAAACAACCCTTTCCACCTTTACTTGCTTCAAAAAATAATTCCTGGGTAAGATGTACATTCTTGGTTAGAAGAAGAGCAATGTTTAGAGTGGTTTTGACATGCAATACTTCGGAGGCAGCTAACAGAAAATTGCCTCCACGTACACCTAAACCTAACTACATTCATGAAATGTAGTTCTAGTTAAAAAGATGGAGAGATTTCATCTGAACCTTCTGCTTTTCTAGCCCTAAAAGGCATTCTTCACTAAATTCCTTTAAATTCCAGTTAAGACCAAGCCCTGGCCTTTTACCTCAGGGGGCCACCACACTAGGGACACAAAGACAATGAACGGCTGGAGGGAAGCTCCACCTGTTGGTGAGCTGGCTGGCCTGGGTGCCCCCCACCCCCCAGGTACCCAGAGGGACAGAGCGGACCACTCCCTCTTGAAAAGGCCATACCCTTAAGGGGCTCGGAAGACTCCGGGCCAACAGCAGTAACATCTGCTAGCAGCCTCGCCCCTGCCCGTCGAAGGGCTAGGGACCGCGTGGCACCGCCACCGCTCTGCATGCACAAAAGGTCCCACTGGCGTGGGGACACAGCCAGCTCTGGGGGCTCCGCAGCCGGGGCATCCCCGGAGAGGGGGAAGGGCGATGCGGGTGGAGGGGAGCCCAGGTGCGGCTGGGAGGAATGATGGTGAAGAGGAGGAGGATGAGGAGGAGGAGGGCCCCGCCGCACGCCGAGGAAGAAAGCCTGACTCATGTCGTGGCAGCAGAGCAGCCGAGGGCTCCTGGGAACTGCAACTCGTGATGCTGTTGCCGAGGAGAAAAGCCTCATTAGCTATTCCGCAGGCCAGGAGATACCGCCC